AGAAAAAAATTCAAATCCCTCTAAAAACATTAAAAAGCTTTCCCGTGGAATATATTTTGTTCATAACTGATAGACCAGTTCCTACCTAACAGAGCTTTTACTCCTTGCGCATTCATATAAAATCTATGGAAAGCTTTAGAAAGTTTCGCTTGTGTGATATATTTTACTCGCGAGTGATATAGACATTATCAAAGCGGGAATTATGCCGAAATAGCTTCACAAAGGAGCTAATTGCATTAAGTACCGAGAAAAAAAATTAAAATCCCAGTAAAAGCTATAAAAAAGCTTCTTCCATGGTATATGATTTGGTCATAATTGACTTAACCAGTGGCGAGCTTTTACTATTTGCCGATTCATATACAATCTATAGAAAGCTTTAGAAAGTTTCTCTCCTGCAATATATTTTACTCGTGAATAATATACACATCCCTTATACGCAAACAGCTTTTCATTGCCGCTATCACCTTAAGACAGGAAGAAAAAGAGGTGGCAGTAAGCCTTTTTACTATGAAAAAATACCGGTCTGAAAACTAACCCCATTTCTTCAGTCCCTCACTTTGCGCCACGTTCGCAGATTTGATCTCAAGCTCTACCGGAGAAAGCTTATTCCAATAGGTTAAACAATTTCAAATAGAAAGTTTCTGAAATAGTCTAAGAGCTGACTAAATGTTTCTAAATTACTTTAATCATTGAGCCCTAATTCGCAACAATCAGAGCTTTTTTGTGAATCTACCAAAGCATACGCTCAGGGGAAATGTACAACTAGGACGAGTGAGTTTAGTAAACATTATAAAAAAGTCTCTTTAAAGGACAAATGAAAAGCTGCTATCTCTGCATTTCGGCATTTTCGGCGGCAACAATTAAACTAGAGCAAGTGGAACTTTTTGTTAACGCGATTTTGTTTGCAAACTCCGAAAAAATTACCATTATGCGAGCTTTCCCCGATATATGGAAACAATGAAAGTTTTAAAAAGCAAGAAAGCTTTGCGAAAGTAACTCGCGAAACTTAACTTAACTTTAACGAAAACTTTAGATTCATATTAGCCCCAAAGAATGGGCGGATATAAATTTTGAAAGCGCTGAAACTTCGATCCGAGCAAATAAGCAGTGTGACAAAGCTTAAATTTTTGTAAGCTTTTAACGAGTTTTATATAGGAGTTCCATGCTTTTGTTGTGATTATTTCTT